ACATGTCGAGCCGCACAAGCAACAGTAGCTAAAGCAACAGCTGGAAATATATATGCATTATTGCCTTGTCCTATTTTAAACCGATATTAGTTAATTAATTAATTAATTAATATAAAAACTTACCTGGATGAAATGTTTTATCTTTATAAACAACCGGTTTAAATGGGCTACCAGATGCAAATATACATCGACCCTAGATAAATTTAAAAAAAATAAAATAAAAACATCCATATATAGATATTTTAAGTACAGAAAACAATTTTTACATCTGTTTCACGATAAGCCTCTTCTGCTGTACATTCAGCACGACTAGTTGGATTTGATCTATAAAATAAAACAAAACTATGATAAAAGTATCATTTTCTAAATATAATTATACAAAGCAAAGATGACAGGACGTTCATTAATTTGAGCCATTTTTTTAAGAACACCTTCATGAAAAAGACGTCCGCCTCCGCTAACACCTGAATAAAAATATTGTTCATTATTTTTCTTTTCTTATTGAATATATTTTACATACCCATAAGTATGCTTGGTTTAACATGATCAACAACACCAGCAAGATCTTTTAGAGCTTTACCTTTTTTCACATAAGAAGCTTTGGGTCCATCTAAATCTCCTTGTGGTCGACCCTTAATAACGAAACATATATATTTAAATATTAAATTAAATAATTCAAAGCATCATCAGACCAGTTAAAAGCAAATTTAGCAAGGACGTGCATTACCTTCTTTCTAAAAGCTTACGTCAAAATTAATTATTAGCAGCATATATTCTATTAATTTACATATGCAAAATTAAAAAAAAACAAACAGACTTACTTCAACAATAAGACCATGAACATCATACATCCAAACTTTACTTCTTGCTTCTTCAATTGAAGCACCTTCACGTACCATTGCATGTGTTACTAAATCAGCTATACCACATGCAGCCTAAATTTAATCATATATTTTATATTGAGAAAGATTAATTATCTACAAACATACTTGACCAGCTCCAACAAAAAGATATGTATTATCAATTAATTTTGTATTTGTAATGCGAAGTGCACCAAAAAGACCAGCAAGAACAACTGCAGCTGTTCCTAAAATACAAACAAAAAAAAGGAATATGTTTTATTATTTTTTCAGAAATATTCTAAAATGAGAAAAGTCAAACCTTGAATATCATCATTAAATGTGCAATATGTTTTTTGATAACGTTCAAGTAATCGATATGCATTATTACTAGCAAAATCTTCAAATTGAATAAGACATTCCCATCCAAAACTAGAAACAAATATTTATTATACTTTAATAATTGATTTTATTATTTAATAAATTTACCGTTGTACAACAGCTTCCATAAATTCATCAATAAATTCATCATATTCTTTACCGGTAACTCGATTTTGTCTTAAACCAATATAAAGAGGATTTGATGAGATTTCCTTTGAGAAAAAAAAAAAACAAAACAAAACATAAGAAATAAATTTTTTGAAAAAATATTTACTTCATTATTTGTTCCAACATCAAGCATAATTGGTAAACAATGCTGTGGTGGAATGCCAGCAATAGCTAAAAACAAAACCATTCGATTATTAGAAATTATTTATTTAGATTTTTGTACTATAGATATATTGAAGATTTCGATAAATCTTCATTATTATTTATATGTTTGTAAGAATGAAAGAGAAAAAAAAAAGCTTTAAGTACGGAAAAAAAAGGAATTCAGGGTAGTGAAAAACCATCAACATAGAACCAATAGGATCTGAAACAATAGGAACATAATTGATACAAAACAACTGGAAAAGGTTACACAGAGAAATGTTTATCCCTTAGACATTGTATTTAAACACATAGATACATTTACATAACGTTATGTAAAATGAGTACAAACGTTAATTAAACTTTAAAAAAAAACAAACTAACGCATTATTGTTTCGTTTGCATCTGATTATATCTTTTTTTTTTCACTTAATGATGAATATGAAAATAAGAGATGTAACAATCAAAATATTTCCATATTCAATCTTTATTATTACTAGTCAATAACATACAATATACTGATGCGTATTAATATGTTACATTAAAATATGTATTTCAAAAAAAAAAAGAATAATAATAAATTCTAAAGCATTACTTTGTTGAGAATAGATTATTCTTCAAAAAAAAATATAAAAAAAAATTGTTTATATTTTTATAATATATAACAAAACAAAAAAAAAAAAAAAGAAGAATATTTAAATTAAACAATATTTTACCCGTATATAATTGTAATTTTCCAACTGGTATACCCATACCAAATGCACCTAAATCACCTAAACCTAAAATACGTTCACCATCTGTTACTACAATTGCTTTAACTTGTGGTTCTGTCCAATTGCACAGAATATCATAGATATGACCTTTATCATGTATTGTTATAAATAGACCTCTTGGTCGTTTAAATACTAAACCATATTTTTGACAAGCAAGACCAACTAAAATATAATGAAATTTTTTTTGTTGTTGTTTTGAATTAATTTTTCTATGTTATCTACCTGTTGGTGTATATACAATTGGTATAAGCTCTTCAATATTATCTTTTAAATAATAATATTAGAATTCTTTTTTTTTTTTTTTTTTTGTTTGAATTTACCTGCAATGACTCTATAAAATAATTTTTCATTTCGATCCGATAAATTCATTAATTCTGAATAACGATCAAGATCATCTAACAGATAAAGATTAAGGTGTTAAAAAAACAAAATAAAACAATAGTTTATCTATTAAAAATTAATTTACTATTCAATCGATGAAAATTGATCATAACACGAAGTGCTTGAACTTCTTGTGTAAGAACAGCTGGTGGTAATAAACCATGAATACCCATATGTTGTCTTTCTTCAAGTGTAAATGCCATACCCTAATTTAAGAAAAATTATAATCAAAAGAAAAATAATTTTATCTATTAACTTTGTTCAATGATGGATTACGAAGTAATTCAGCACCTTTAAGTGATGAACGTGATTTTGTTGATGGACGATATTCATCAGTAATAGTTACAAGATATCGTTGTTGTAATTGACAATAACGTATACATCGATGATAGGATAAAACAGAACGAATACTTCGTAATGAACTAAATGACATTTTTTTGTTTTGTTTTGTTATTAATGTCAAAATATCTGAAAATTAGAGAAAAATTATTTATTAGAAATTTGTTGATTGTTATTTAAACTTCAATATTAATTTGTATCATATGAAATATAAATATTTGAATTGATTTATTTTCTTTTAATTTTTGTAATTTATAAATATAGTTAATTGAAATATGTCTTGTTTATTTTCATTAATCTATGTTTTTAAATACTTATGATAAACATCAGAGATTTCTATTGTTCAAATTTATTTTTGTTTTATTTTACAACGTAGTATCTTAATGTTCTATTCAAAGAATATAATAAAAAAAAGCGTTAAAGGACATAAAATTTAAATAAAATATTGAGTTGTAGGCATGATATTTTTAATTATTAGGATGTTAAGATATTGAAATATACAATAGTGAATTCAATTATATTTTAAAAATTGATATTTGATGCTCACTAAACAGATGATGGTGATTTATTAATAAAATAAATAATAATTATGTCTATTTACTATATGATATATACCGGGTGAAGCAAAATTTTTGCGACATTTTTTGTTTTGCATGTATCTCTGTTCAAGAGCATGAAAAAACGTTGATCTTTGTTTTTAAAAGATGCATCGTCGAATTCTCTACAAACTTCTCTTAGCCTTAATTTAGAACAATAGAACTGAACAGTTTCCCACGTCGTATAGTATGATCATATGAACTGCGTTTACTTCCCACACATTTTTAAATAATTCATTCTTTTCGTGTCAGTGAATATTTTATTATTAAAGCATAATTTATTGCTAGACAGCTCTTAAAATTCTCTGTCGATTGAGTATACATCCAACGTTTTTAAATGTTTATTCATTCGGTTGGGCACTCTGTCATATTTTGAAAATAACGCGATTTTCATGTTTGGCTTCTCCTTTTCAAAGAAAGCATTCTAGAAATGCCGTCTATAACTAAATCGAGTTCATTTTTCCAGTATTTTGTAGAGAATTGATTTCTCTTTCTATATGCAGCCAAAATAACGCGTGAAAAAACGATTTACATTGAAGAAAAATCTGAATAGTGTCAAGAGAGCTGCTTTCGTTGTAGCACCATAGACAGGCCATAGTTTTTAGATAAATATAGATTGCGATCAAACAATTACAAATAATTCTGAAAGTGCATTTGATGTACACTCAAATTACAAAGAGAAAGTCTGTTACGAGCCTGTTTGTAACTTGGAAAGCTCGTTGAAAAACCAAAAGAAAAATGTGTGGGAAGTAAACGCAGTTCATATGATCACACTATACGACGTGGGATAATGTTCAGTTCTATTGTTCTAAATTAAGACTAAGAGAAGTTTGTAGAGAATTCGACGATGCATCTTTTAAAAAAAAGATCAACGTTTTGTCATGCTCTTGAACAGAGATACATGTAAAACAAAAAATTTCGCAAAACTTTTGTTCCACTCGGTATACGCCTACAAACATTTAGTTAAGTCAAGTTTATGTTTTTGTGCTAAATGTAATTGTTTTATAGGTCACATATAATCATTAAGTAAATGAAGATAATATAGGGAAAAATATTTGGAGGAGAGAGAAAAAATCTGAAAAGTCCTTCAAAAAAGACAACTTAAACACGCATGAAAAATTGTCATTTTCTTTTTTTCTTTCTTACTTAAATAATCAGAAATTAATACTTCTCCTTCTTCTCTTTTTTTTTTATTCTCTCATCTATGAGAGACAATTTTATACTCCCATTCATTTTCTTTTGGTTTCTAACGTTGATAGACTAACAATATATATATATATATATCCAACTATCCTTGTAATTAATACAACTACTTAAAATCTAACTCTTTTATTCGAAACATTTATATAATATACATGATGTTTTTGTTAACCAAAGAAAATATGGCAAATCGTTTATCATGGATTATATTTATTTTAATGTCTATTCAAGTGGTTCAAACACTATCTGCCTTTTCTGATGTACCACGTAAGTAAATAAAAAATTAGGAAAATATAAATTGTTCTTTTCGTTTTTTATTATCTAGCTCCGCCAGTTCGACCGGAACGGTTTAATTCTCGTGAAGAACTCAAACGGTATTTACAACTTGTATGTTGAAGTTTCTATGTTTTTTTTTTCTTTTTTGATTTAATAAATTAACAAAATTTTTTCTTCAAGGTACATGAATATTATGCGATCATAGGTCGACCACGTTTTGGTCGTTCTCTATTTCAACCACGAACAAGTCTAGATGATCAACGTCTATTTAATTTTTTCGATATAAATGGTGATCAATCAATAACATTCGATGAATTTGAAAAACGATTCGAAATTGACTAGTCGTGTATGTAAGTAACTATAAATATGAATTAATATTTATTAATTTTCATTATGTGCTTTTTTTTTCTTCTTATCTATAGACGATCTGTGCCTTATGTTGACGAACATTGATATTGCTGCAAAATGGCGATTTTTTCTTCGACCATCATGCGCCGATTTTTTCCTATGTATTTGTTTCATTCTTATTTATCACCTTCTTTTTTCCTTGACTATCTGTCATATTGTATGCGAATACAATAAAATTGGCCGTTCCCGTCTACACAAGCAATCATCATTATTAATCACAGTCTATGAGCAAAAACATATACTTGAAAATTTTGGAAAAGGCAAAATCTCATTTGTTAAATTGACATATAAGGTAAAAGAAAAAGTCCTAGGAAAATTTTCACTAATCATCTCAAGTAAATTAATCAACAGACATATATATATAAATTATTTTACAAAGTAATTATTTGAACAACATACGCATTTCCTGGAAAATAATTTCCTTTTGATAAATAAAAAAAAACGTTAGATAATATATAAATATTAATAATCATCCATTTAAAATATCTAAAATATAGCAACTGTAAAAGTAATCGAAATACAAGAGACCTTAATGTCCTATATTTTTCTTTTTCCATCTTGGTATAAAAAATTCACACACACTCACACATACATATGAACCATCGACAAAAAAAAAAGGGTTTTTAGCCAATATATGAATTTTTTCCGAAGAAGAAAAAAAAAAAAAAAAGAAAGAAAAGAAATGTTAAATAACAAAGAATCAATGATGAAACTTTGTTTAGTTATGTCTTTATTGAAATCACTGGTTTATTTTCTTTTTTTCTAAAATAGAAAATTAAACATTGACAGAAGATGATGATTGATTTTGTGATGTTTTAACATATTCAACAAAATCATCAATTAATCTAAGAAAAAAAAAAGCTATGAACAAAAAAACAAAAAATTATTTCTATGATAATACATACGTTGGCCAAGCACCATCATGATCATAATTTGAAAAATCAGATTTTATTGTTGTTGAAAAATCAAGTAATAAATCCCATGTATCTTTAGTAATTGATCGTTGATTAGAACGTTCTTCAAGAAATTTAATCCATATTTCAAGTAATTTAAATCTTTGACATTGCTTATTAGTAGGATTTCCATTAAATAACATTTTCCAATATGCCATAGCTAAACAATAAAATATATTACTTTTATCTTTATTATAATTAGAAAAAAAAAAAAAAAAAGAATCAATAGAATTTATATCGATATGCTCAAAAACGAATTTAATTCAAACAGCTTTTTATTAAAAAAAAACATATTTTCAAATTTTCGCATCAATATATAAAGAAGAAGAAGAAAAAAAAACATTGTCGGAAATTGATTAAGTTAATTTGTTATTTAAATTAATTGAGTATCTATTTTTATCTTCTTAATGATATGACGTCATAGAAGATATAAAACTAATTTTTAAACACACAGTCATATACTCTCATTATGTAGTAGTTGGTTAGGCAATTCAATAAAGTTCTTTTTTTTTTCTTTTATTCATGAATTGCTACAAGTCTAATTATAACTGTAATTGATGCAAACATAATCTAATTTGAATAAAGACATATAATCAATTTCCGTTTTAGCATAGTTTCATTCATCTCAAATGTAAGATTTTTTTTTGTTTTTTGCAAAGATAAAGATTTCTATTCAATATAGATATTTGCTCATCCATTTATAAATAGAAATTTTTTTTTTTTGATTATAAAGAGTAAACAGGAAATAGTCAAGTGAATTGAAGTCTATGCTTAATTGAATATATGATTTCAAATAATTTAAATTACGTACTAAATTAATATCGAATATTTTTTTTTTGAAATAGAATAAATGTGTAAATTAAATTTTGTATGATGTCAGTAAGTAAAAAAAGAGCATCAAACTTTGATGAAAATCATCGTAACATAACATATTCTAGATAGTAGTAATTTTAGAAATTCTTTCAGAACTATTTAATAAAATATAAAATGCGCATTTCTTTTGAATATTAGAAAAATTGCACTCTAAGAATTTTTCGACCTTTTCATTTGTAATTAGTTTATAATTACAAATAAAAATGAAATAAATAATCTAACCTATATATTTCAAATGTATTGACAATATATACGTATTAAAAGATTACAAAATAATTAATAAAGCTTAATGATAATAACTTCAATCAATTATATATGCAACGCATTATTTATTTGTAACAATATGAAAAAACATCTATATATATAATTGTAATTTTATTCTTGCATGACATTTACATATTATCTTGAACTATTGATAATTAATGTTCATGATATTTTTTGATTAAGTTTTGTTAATAATATTTTACTATCACTCAAAAAGATATTGGTGCAATTCCTATGAAATTAAAATGTAAAACATGATGTACTTGTTCTTATTAATTACAAGATAATTGTTTTTCTTTTTCTATCTATATATCTTCAACAATCTTTTAACTTAATCCTTGAAAAATTTAATTAAGAGAGTAGGTTTGTATATTATCATGAGATATTATTGATGTAGAATCAGTGACATGGGGGCGGCCTAAATTTTGATCTCTATATTTCAACATTTCCTTTAGGTGATTCTTGTATTAAGCATGCTAAATATAACAGATAGATCTTCACTACTCTCTACTATTAGAATATATTATGTAATCAAAATTTTTGAAGTTGACAGAATTAGAGAAAATCTTAAGTACATGTCAGATATAATACTGATTAGTATTTGTAATTATAATTTCTTTTTTTGTTTTTGAGTCTAAGATTTACAATCATTGTTTGATCATCTGTCATGCAAGATTAATAATGAATCTGTGATTAAATCATTCATTGAAAAAACATGTAACACACTATTGAATAAAACCGGAAATAAATGCAATAAAAGAAATAAGAAGACAAATTTATATTATTTTTTTTATTTATCAAAAACTTGAAAACTTCATTGATATGATTCAATATTTTTCATTTTTGTTTAATCTATTACTCTCTCTTATGCTTTTTATAGTTTGTAATGAAAGTTTAATTATTTTATCAAATGTATTATGATCGACAATCATTGAAAATATTAATGTCAGAAAATTTCTGGTTCATGAGAAAACAAAAGTAAAAGAACAGTGTGAATAAATATCACGCGAGATTTTTTTTTTTTTTTATAATAAAATTATGACAAGAGTTTATTTAGTATAGAATACAGTGTAATAAAGGTCAAAATTAATCTGTCAAATATTATTAATTCAATTCTTATTTTTGATACTATTGAGATTATTGTACAGTGATGTATCACTCTTTCAGTACAAACTCGTTTTTTTTTAAGCAGTTTTTCGATATCTATGTATGAAAAACGTAGTAGTCAAGCATTTTTCATGAGCAACAGTGACTCAAGGTCATTTCCTGCTTGATACACTCAGTTTTGAATGATTTCGTATATTTCGGTTACTTTAATAATGGTAATCGAAACAATTTCTTCTTTTGTCTTCGACAATACAGCAGAATACATTAGCCTTCATTTTTCAAATTGAAAGCTTTCTCTTTTTGCTTATTTTCATCGTAAAATAGTACAATAATTTTGCAATTCACTCATATGTATCTAATGATATAGAGTTATATAAATACCTATAATCATTTTAAAAAAAAAAAGAAGAATTACAAGAATATAATACTGACATTTATGTAGAAATTTTCTTGCATCACAATCAATGCGTATTTCAAAAGACAACAGTGAATACTCCTTTTTTTTTTTAAATTAATTTTCGATAAAAATCAGATAGACAACTATAACTTTCATCTTGAAAAACGAAAGATCAAAACAGGTCGAATGGAATTTTTTGTGACCTGATTTTTTTTTTTGAAAACTAACAGAATATATGCAGTCATTACACTCACTTTTTAATTAATCAAGCGTGCATACCAACTTCCAATGGAAGATCTACAATACCACGTACCTTTCACAATTTGATAGTATAGTACTCTACACAAAACTCTCAACCAATTCCTATTAAAAAAAACAATTACTTTTTTTTTGTTTACTTCTGACTTATTTTATTAAAAACCATCAGAAAATTGATTAAAAAAAAAAACTTGAAAATACATCTTAGAGTAACCTATCATATATAATTCAACACGACTTTGTCTGCTCTTTCAAACTGTGAAGACTACAGCGTTCTTAATTGTTTCTATCAAAAATGATTCAAAATAATGTCTACTCATATATATATATATTTTTTTTAATGAGTACTTCTCATCTCTTATATATTTTTAAAACGAAAGCATCATTTAACTCATAAAAGTATAAAATCTTATCATATATGTTTATTTTGATTTTAATTAATAATTAAATAAATTACTCAAGTATAAAAGTCAGGACAATAATTTTCAAGTATAATTATTCTATATTTCAAGTTTATGTTAAAAAATAATTGTGCATCTATGAAATACAATACTATCGAAGAGAAATGTAGAATAATTAGACGATTTCTTCAATTGGTTAATCGTTTTGGAACAGAAACTATGTACACTATGTTTACTGTAATTAATGATGAATACTTTCGAAGAAATTTGAACTTTTAGTTTATTGCTACGACGATATTACAGCATTTTAATTCAATACAACTAGTTTTCGAATATTGACTTCAAAATATTCTTATTTCATGATAGAAACAAGTTAGAAGATCTGAAACTTTCACGATAAATTATTCTTATCAAGTTCTTTTTCTTTGTAGAGTTTCAAGTCAAAATTCAAATACCAATCTTTCTAAACAGCATTTCATCATTAAATTAAGTGTTCGAACTCTTAGATCTGTAGGATTTACATAATATATATAGTTTCGATTCAATAAAAGATTAACCAATTTGAAAATTTCTCTCAAAAGTATTGACACAAAATATTGGTTTACTCTTAACTCTCTTGAGAATGTTTTGCGAGAAGTTAAAAGTTATGAATTAGAATTATCATCTTCGACAATTTCTGAAACGACATTTTAAGTCGAATTTTCTTTTGCAAATGGTTGTTCATTTTTAGGCAAGTCCAAAACTATGAATGATGATCAGAATTGTATACTCTCTTTTTTTACATGGAACTAGAAATATTATATTCATTTCTGTTCAAGATTAATGAATAAATTTTTTAAAGGCCAAAAAAAAATTAGATTGAATGATGAAGCAATAGATTTTTTTAATAATTAATGCAGTATCTCTGATGTATTCTATCATACTTCTCAGAGTATTTATTATTACCAATACTTAGATCTAACCAAAAGTTCTCAGAATATTAAATAAAAATATAAAGATAAGGAGATATTTTTAATTTTATTTTATCAAATGTTGAGGATAGTTGCCATGATTATTTATATCAAGTTCGATCCTTTTTAACAATTTGTTATTGAAGTCTTTTTCAAAAAAATTTTTAGGTACCTTGGAAACCGCATGAACTAATCATATTTCATTTATTTTAAAAATATAGCGAAATTTTGTTCGATCATGTCTATTGCGTTCTAGCATTATTAGTGATGGAATATGGATTTATTTTATATAGGTTAGTCCAGTGGCGTAGCCAGGAATTTTTGAGTCATGGGCAATTCATCAGCAGAACTATTTTGAGTTACGGGCAGCTAAGGGCAATCATTATGATTTCAAAAATATATATGGGCAATAACTGTTCAAGCACTGTATAGCTCAATAAATCCATGGGCAATTGCCCCCTGGCTACGCCACTGGGTTAGTCATAAGTCATCTGATGCTAGCGGCCTTATTGAAGATGAATCATCAAAGACTATTGTTCATGAAGATAGATTTTAACCAAAACTTTGTTTGATATATTCTTTAAATCAAATAGTCCTGCGTGTAGATAAAGGTAAGACTGTAGGTCACAAGTATTATATTGAAAATTGTCCGAAACCTTTTGTTAATGAAATATGGAAACAAACAGAGACATGAGGTTCAAAATTGCTTGACAATCATCGTTGACTTCATGCTCATCCGATTTTATTAATTATATGACAGAAGAAAACATCAAGATAATATCATATTCACCAGGCCTGATACTATGTAATTTTTGATTAACTAATTCTATCGAACGTAGTTTAACTGATAAAATAAATGAAACATGATTAGTTCAGACGGTTTCCAAGGTATCAAAAAATTTTTCGAAAAAGATTTCAAAAAAACTTTTAACAAATTGTTAGAAAGGATCGAATTTGATATAAATAATCATGGCAACTATTCTCAACATTTGATAAAATAAAACTAAAAATATTTATATTTTTATTTAATATTCTAGGAACCTTTGATTTGACCTAAGTATATCGATTTTTAACACATAAAAATTTTTGATACAAATCTCTCTTTCTTATATTGTCTAATTTTTATACTGAAATATATATATATAAATTATTTACCTGGTTGTACATCAAGATTTTTCATTGATGTTGCTGAACGTGCAAAATTAAATGTATAAGTATATAATTGTTTAAATTTTTCATTATCAGTATCAATTTCTTTATTAAGTTGTTTAATTTTTTCACGTAATTTATCTATTGTATCACATTGTAAATCTTGACAACCTTGTATAAATTCATTACGTTGTAATTCTCCTTGTTTAGATGCATTCATTTTCCAACAAAGTATAAGAGTTTCTCGATCACTTGGATCAAATTGTAAATCATTAATAAAACGTAATAATTGATCTAAATTCATTTTATTTGTATCACGTGGATCAGCATATATTGTCCATAATTGTTCAATTTTTTTACGATCAAATTTTGTTGATGATGATGATGATGTTTGAGAATGATAAGATGAATGATGTGAACTATTACCCGTTGATGAATAAGAAGATGTTTCTTCACAAAGAGCAGCAACAGCACGTTCAACGACCCAATCATTTGACTGTAGTGCTTGTCGTGCTTGTTGTTCTGTGACACCCATAACTTCACGTAGTTGACGTATTCTTTCATTTTTTTCACGATCCGAAATTTTATTACGTGATGACATTTTGTTTTAATTCGGGTTTTTTTTTTTTTTTTATTTATTTATATCTGAAATATAATAAATTTATAAACAAAAAGAAAAAACAAAAGATAATTTCCAAATAAAAAAAAACAAAAACAAAAATGAAGAATAAAAGAGATTAATGGATATGTAAACGAAGTGAAGTAACAGTACAATCACTACCTATTGTTACTATACGATGAGTTTCTTTATCATAAATTAAACCTTCTAAACTTCCGAAATGAATTTTTTTACATAGAATTGGTACATCATTTTCATTATTTTCATCATCACGCCATATAACTAAATAACCATTTTGTGTTGTACAAATAATTAATTTTTGATCTTCATCAACTTTTAAATATGTTAATGTAAACCATCCAAATAAAGATTTTGGTGTATGAAGTACATAAAGACAATTATATAAATTTGATTGAGTATTATATATTCGTACTGTTCTATCATCAGCACATGTATAAATTCGTTCATGTTTCCATTGAACAGATGTTACTGCTGTTGTATGTCCTCTAAGAGTAGCAATTAAATTTTGTTCATCATTAACTTTCCATATACATGTTGTTTGATCTTCTGATGCTGTTGCACATAATTCTTCATTTGGACTCAAACAAACACTCCATATTTCAGCATTATTACTATGTAAACCAATAATTTTTTTTGTATGAAAATTTATTAATGTTCCATCACCAAGACCAATTAAACAAATTGTTTTATTTTTATTCCATGCTGAACAAATAATTGTTGATTGAAAATCTTCAACTATTTCTTGTGTATCTACATTATATAATATACCAGATAATGTTCCAACAAGATCTTTTGATATAAAACATCGAATACTATCAGGTATAATTGTATGTTGTTTAGGTTTTATATCATGTATTGTCCAATGAAATATATTTCCAGAAAGATCACCAGATAATATTTCATCATTTTCCATATATAAACCACAACCAGCTGTTTCATGTAATGTTCTATGTATTATTGTTGTTAAACTTAATGATGATGTTTCTTCGGGAACTGTATTTATTATTGTAAACATAACTTTTTCAACTGGTGAAGGTGTACGATTATCTAATAATTCAATACGTACAAGTGCTAAACCCATATAACCACCAATCCATAATAAATCTTGTTCATCAGAATTCCATTGTAAATGACAAATAGCTGTTGTTGGTGCACCATCACCAGAACCAATTAATGAACCATCTAATGAATAGACATTTACTATCGATGATATATAACCAACTGTTAACAAATATGAATGCCACCAGATAATTGCTTGTGGAGATCCACTAGCTAAATAAACAATCATTGTATATAGTAATATGTACTAATATAGAGTTTTGCAGAGTAAGCTTTTTTCATCACTAGTATCATGAATAGGAAGAGAACCTTCTCAATTTGGAAGTAGGTTTTGAGTTCTAGTTCTATGTATAAGAATAATGCTAGTAAAAAAAAGGATCCCTAGGCTTTTTCTATAGGTTTATGACCATTTTACTGAAATTTTAATCTACTGAGAATATTCCATTCATAAGACATCGAATGATAAAAAAATGACTCATATTTCATAAAGGATTCGAGAATATCATGTTTTTTTAAAGTTCAATATTTTGTAAAGAAAATATTCTATTTATAAGTAAAACAATCTATAGGCTAAAATTCCAGTAAAACAGCTATAAGTCTGTAAGGAAGGTCTGGAGACACATATTCGTTTGGAACTCTTCATATCTCATACAAAGAGTCTGAATCCAAAACAGATGTTCAAGTTGAGAAGATTTTTTCGTAAATAATCAAGTTTCATAAACTACTCTCTAAAAAATTCATATTATTAGGAAGAGAATTTCTGACAATCCTAATTATTCACATATTAATAAGAAGATCCTAACAAATGAAATGTCCATAATTTCTTTAGCAATGAATAACACTACTCCTCAAAAAAAAAACAGTATAAGAACTAGTTTTTACTATATACACATTAAAAATTTCCTTTTCTATTTTAATATGTTAGACGATCATCGCCCTAAAAATTCATTCCGACGAGATAACCATTACTATTATTTGCTTAGTTAATGGTTTTTTTTTGCGCCGAATTTCGTAGTAATTTCATCTATGAATGTTTCTTATTGCAGAAATTAACTAAAAATTTTCTTTTTCATGTGAGCTGTATAATAATTTCAAGTAAAATCTTAATTAAATTTTTACTACATTATTTTCTAATTATATAACACATCGAAACGTTCTTTGTAAAAGAAAAAAAAAAAAATTTTTACCATTGACAGTTGTATGAATTTGTAATGGATTTGTATCAATAATAAAAATTAAACCTGATTGAAGTCCAACAGCAAAAAATTCTTTTCCAGTATTTCTATCACAAAGTGTTGTTGTTGTAGCACATAAAAATGTTTGATTTGCTTTAGCTTTTTCTAATTTAAGATCATTTAATAAATGACCATCATGTAAATTAAGTTCATGTATATGAACATGTTCATGTGGTCGTTGTAATACAGCAAATAAATGACGACGTACAGCTGTACATATAACAAATTCATAACCAATTGAACCTGCAACATATGTATTTGATGTTTCAATTTTTTCAGCTATATTTAATGATGATATTGAATCTTCAATAATTGGATGAATGTTTTCTAAATCATTTCTTGGTGTTGCCCAATGTCGTAGCCAATTTTCAGTTAATGAATGATGTTTTGAATCATAAGAAAGTGATATAAGTGTACCTATAGACAAAAAAAAAACAAAAAAAATAATATTTATCTACAGTCAATTTAATTTATTCCGTTGTTTTTAAATTATAGGTAGAAAATTAATGTAGAATGTAAGCGAAGGTTCAAAGGAAAAATATTTACACTTACATCGTAATGGAGTTCATTTTTTCTTTTAATGATATTTTTCTTTAATTTATGAAATAAACATAAAAACAAGTTCTCACAGGTAAAAGTCAATAGGAAAAAAACAAATATTTTTTACAGCATAAAATCATCTATCGATTAGTCTATTTTCATTTTAGTACAAACCTCTTAATTAGAAAATTTGAAATACTAGAAAATATTTAAATCTATTTTAGATTTCGATCGATGATTATAAATAAAAAAAAAACAAAAAAAATTTACCATCAAATCTTGAACAAAGATAAATTGTTGTACCATCACGTGTCCAACAACCATAATGAACATGATTTATTCGAATTTGTTGTTCAACAAAACGTTTTTGATAATTAATTGACCAAAGAATAATTTTACCTGAATAAGAACATGTTAAAATTTGATTTATATATTCATTATAAATCATAACAACAATAATATCATCATAAATATGTTCCAAATATAAACGTTCATTATTTGAATAATTATAAATTTGTATACATCCATTTAATGGACATTCATATATATGAGATTTTGAATGTTCAATAGATTTAATTGATGATGGAAAACCTGCACATAAACGAAATGATCCAACACCAAAAATATTTTCAATTGTAAATGATAACATGGATTTTGAAATTATAATAAGGGCAAAATTTATTTGTCATAAAATAACCTTGTTGTACGTTTGTTTTCCTTTTTTTTTTCTTCTTTATTATTCTTGATGAATAAGTAAGATGACTGTGCAGAAAAAAAAAAAGAAAAGGTAAGAGAAAAGATTGACAAAAAAAAAGAAAGTAACAACTTGATTGTGCAATTAAAATAACATAAATATCTATGAGTCAAATAGGAGACTTATCACATTTTTATTTCATCTAAAGAACACTTACACTATGATTGCGTAATAGTTTTTTCTTGTATATAATTATGATCGAAAAGAAAAAGTAGATCAAGAGAATTTGAATAAATACGAAAAATGTAAATATAAAGAAGATTCTCGTTAATTTTCTTTTTACTCCATAAAAAAAACAAGAAACTCGTGTAACCCATTCATTGGACAATGAAAAAATTCATTTGTCACGTTTTTAAAAAAAAAAACTGAGCAAAAATAAAAAGACAAGAAATAAAATAATTCAATGTTTACTGTTAAATTTTTTTCTTTTGTGTTCTTAAACAAATAATTATAATTGTTTTGAAATTTTTTTCGAAAATCCTTGTTGTATAGAACGCCATTGTTGACATTCAATAAGTAGTTGTGCACGAAATATTATTGATAATTGTTCAAATTGCATTATATTTGCTTTTTGATTAATCCAAAATTGATGCCATTCATTAAAAATAAGTAAAAATAATCGAAAAAATTCATCTAAATTACATGGATGTATAGAAAAATATGTTAATAATGGATGAGAATTATTTTCTTTTGATGATTCAATTTCAAGTAAATTAACAAGCCATGATATAACATTTATAACACCTATAGCAAATGAATAATCATTTGGTGATGGAATATTAACATATGTTAAACATGTTATTTGATCACGAGATAAATATTCTATTGATTGAAGACCAAGAAGACCCATACCTAGAATATTAATTTTTCATGTTTTAACTTTCTTTATTCTTTATTGAATCATTATTGATCTATTTGATTCGCATATTCTTCTAATAAAGTTTGTACGTATAATTTTTTTTAATGAAAATTTACAGTTATTCTATTGAATTTGAACATCCATCTAGAGTTTAATCAACAAAACAAAAGAGAAATATCTTTCTCGAATTTTTTTTTTTTTACTTCAATATTTGTTTCGAATGAAGGTGACGACATATAAGAAGGCTTGTATTATTAGTATCAAGTTTCTTCGATGACCTTTATTCAGCAACAGCTATGACTCTCTAGTTTCTAGAACTATTTTCTTGACAATTAAAAAATGATTTCGCACAAAAACTTTGCAGTAGAAAGGTTAGATGTCTAGCTACTGAATGAAGATTCTCACACAATTGAATGATACATATCGAACTGTTCTAAAATCAAAGAAGTGTTTGATCTACAACTCAATTATTTACCCTTGTATTAAAAGTAGGCTAGTATCTAGCATCAGGAGCCTATGGAATCCTATTTGTAATAAAATCGTACACGGTATTATTACTTTTGACTAGTAATGTATTTACCTCGAAAATCGGTTAATGGATTTGGACCCTAAAAGAAAAAATATATATGTATTTTTTTTTCAAATTGAACTTTTTCTTCATACTTGAAAACCAATTTTAGTCCAACGTTTTGAAATCATATTCATTGGTTCATGATCATTTTTTGATTGAATAACAAGACGTGACCATATTTTTTCAAATAAATCAAGATGTTCCGGTTCAGTTGATGTTACTTTTATATTTCTTATATCATTTATTTGTTTAATTAATATTTGATATAATTCTAATTTATGTATAACGGTATATAATTGATCATGTATTAAAGATTTTTTTCTATCATTTTTTATTTGTTCAATTTCATGATTAAGATTTTTTGTTGATGTAAAATTAATTGAATTTTTTATTTGATAAACACGTAATGGAAATGGTAATTGACGATTTACAATAATTCGTTCTAATAAAGATTTACCAGTTAAAATATACATAAAAATATTTTGAAATGATAATAACAATTGTGAAATCATTCGAAATCCAAATGATAAAGACATATCTAGAATTAAAAAAGCAGAGATTTTCATAATTTAGTTGTTAGTCTTACTTTTTTTCAATCTAAATTTTATTTATTTTAGAATCAGGACAGGATACAATTGATGTTTTCATACTTTCTTTTTGATATAAGGAGAACAAACCAAAAAAAAAAAAAGAAAATAGAAAAGGTACAACCAATAATCGTAAACCAGGTGGAAACAAAAAAAAAGAAGAAATGAATTAGTCTATTGATTGATTTGTTTTTGTTTACATATCATCAACCGATTTTAAAGCTAATTCAGGTTTATCATAACCTAATTCTTCTGGTGTTGATATACCCAATTGATTTAATGTTGGACGAATTTCTTGAAGTATCCATGGCCATACTTGATTTGAAACTGCATTCGATTTATAACGAATTGCTTCCAAATAACGAACAGCTAATGAATGATCATTTACACGACGACATGCTTGAAGACAAGCTGATATAATTTCTGGTTCTGGAATTAAATCAAGACGATTCATATGATTTATACCTTGACGAATATCCCAACCTAAAGATTATAAAAACAAAAAAATAAATATAAACATATACTTCCTTACATCAAAATTTATGATATACATGTATGAATATTATGCTTATGTTTTCTGTTACAAAAAAAAAGTTCTAACGAGGAAACATTTCCAACTGTCACACTGCTTTTGAGTCGAGCGTATGTGCATCATGTAGGCTCTAATGATCTATGAATACTCTGAAAAAAGTTCGTGCTACTAGCTTATTACTACCGAGATATTCCATTTTTACTGTATGTTTAAGCAAAAAAAGCCGTGGTCCCCTTCAGGAACACTGAGTTTCCAACTTCGACTTGAAACTTTGCACAGAGATATACCTCAATGAGAATAATTTATTGTGAAAGTTTCAGGTCTTTTCGTTGTTCCTATGCTAAGATACAGCTATGGTAAAATCGCTGATATACACCAGCAGATTTCGATATTCTTATTTTAGACTAGGAGCAATCAAAAGATCTGAAATTTTTACAATAAACTATTCTCATTGAGGCTTATCTCTATGCAAAGTTTCAAGTTGAAATTCGAAACTCAGTTTTTCTAGTGTTTCTGAGGGAGACCACGTCTTTTTTTGCTTAAACATACAGTAAAAATGCAATATCTCGGTAGTAATAAGCTAGCAGTACGAACTTTTTTCCGAGTATTCATAGATCATTAGGGCCTACATAATACGCATACACTCGACTCAAAAAACAATATGACAGTTGGAAATGTTCCCTCGTAAGTCGTACGTTTGTTTGCACTACCATGATACTGATAACATACCAGCAGTCAGAAGATAACCAATTATTTAACGGAGTTTCCTTTTTCAGGTATGAAAAAATGAAATTTTCGAAGTGTTCTCGATAAAATGCCATGTAAATGAGTGGTATTTATTGTTAACCAGTACTTTTATTAAATTAAACTTTCGATACTTCTAGCAGAGAAGTTTTCGTTTCGATTATTTTTTCATTCAAAAGGTATCGAGAGAGTACAGGTTACGGATGTGTCACATTGCCAATTTCCGATCATTTTAGTTGAAGAAAAGAAAAATTTTTTTTTTCTCCGAAATCAACTTTTTAACAAAAAAAAACCCGCTGTTTTCTTCCAAATGGTACATTCGATCGGATTCAAATTACGAATACATACTGTTTTATTTTTCTTCAAAATGTTGTTCCTACAACCATTTTGACTCTATGACAACATTTATTCTACCTATCGAGGTCTATCTACTTTGAAAATTTCATAATTTTTCCTTCATATAGAATGTAACGCATGTGATACTATCGAAATAGTAAAAGTTTGTCGTTCGTATCAGTGTACTTATATTTAATCAACGAACCATAAATAGGAAATCATTCAAGTAAAACAAATGTGATTGATGATAAACAATCTCAATAGAATTTATATATTAAAATAAAGAAACAAATCAATTCATATGATTCAAACTGAACCAAAACCATTGATAATTTGATACTTTAACAAATGGCTGTACTCTGACCATCATTCTATCCTAGTTATACTGACAATTGTTCTCTGACTGGTAATTATATCCGACAGTAGTACAACATGGGTAAATATATAATAACAAAACTTCTCATAGGACACAAAAACACTCTTCTGTAAGAATGAATGACATTATAACTATTTTCAAATGTCATTTATTCTAATATCTGCATTATTATTATTATTATTACTACAATTTATTTACCATCAATATTTGATCGTTCAAAATAAGCTTTCCATCGGTGATCAAATTCTTCATCAGTTTCTTTATTATGCGATGACATATTACGACGTGCAGTTGATCCCATAGTCATCAACATAGGTCGTGTTGTTTTTATTAATGTTTGAATAAGTGTAGAACGAAATAAAAGAGCCATCTAAAAGAACAAAAAAAAACAAACAAACACAATGCTATATACTTTTATTCATATTGACTTCATCTTTGTTTTTTTTTTACTATCTTAATATCCAATGAAAGACTTATACACATACACACAAAACAAAACTACAGGATACTCTAAACAAAATACATAGATATGTTCACAAAAAAAAAGTAACAAAAAAAAAAAAAATAACACAAAAAAAAATCTATCTGAATATTACATATCAAGTTCTTCCATTTGTTTATTTATACTTTGAATAGCTTTCATTAATGCTTGTTTACGTTGATGTAAAACAGCACGTTGTGTATCTGACGTTTGTTTTGTTGATTGTATTTGATTATTTGTTATTGTTGTTGTTGTTGTATTAAAACATGTATCTTGATTATTATTTTCAGTTAAATGAATTTGTTGATGATTAATTATTGATGATGATGATGTTGTAGATGTAGCTGTAGATAATAAACGATGAAAATTTTGTTGTTGTAATTTCATTATAGTTGGATGATGAATAAGTTCATCAGATATATGAAGATTTTGTTGATTAGTTTGTAATGATGGTTGAGATTCATATGAATATTTTGTTGATAATATTGGTGATTGTTGTTGTTTATTTTGTTCCGGTGGACAATATGATGAAGCTATTGAATCACTTGTACCTGTTGTAGAATATTGACTTGAAATTATTTGAGATGTTATTGTAGGTCTACAAAAAAAAAAAATGATAGATTGACTTTTGAGCACTCCTATATTTTAATTTATATTATCGATTACTTATCAGATTTACATTGTAAAAAAGAAACAAGAAATGTTATAAAGGAAAGATAATAGATAATCTATTTTGGTAGAGAATGAAGTGTTCTGTCAAATCAAATATTTTTCTCTTTTTATGGAAAATGAAGTTCTTAGAGAAATAATAACGTTGTCTTTCGGAAATTAAAAAAAAAAAGAAAAATTTTTTTCTCATAACGGAAATTCTTCTATTGATTAAGCGCTTTCGAGTTGAGATTATGTGTTCTTAAAATAGTTTGTATACTTAGGTCTATTGCTATGAAATTTACTGCATTTTTGTTTTCTAAATTAATTTTTTTACTCAATATTTAGAACGAAATTTATCGTTTAGTATTTCAAATCAAAAAATGGATAGGATTTTTTTTTATTGTGGAAAACTGTCCTACTGTTATTCTAAATATAGATTTTGAATTAAAAAGAAAAACTCTGTTTACCACATAAGAGTTTGAGTGGCTTCCAACAGTCTACAGAAAGATATATTATTAATGTAATATTTCACGGAACAATGAATCCAGATGGATTACTAATTGTTCGTACAAACGTTATGAAAACTTTTTGTTTTTTTTTACCTAAGTATTGGTGGTTGTTGTAATCGATTTGATAGATTATTCATTGAAATAATTGATGATGTATCTGAATTCATCATTGATGTACTTAATGGTCGTTTACCAGTCATTAATGTTGATGCTGGTCGTTCTGGTACATATAATTGATTTAAATAAGCTGATATAAGTTTAGCTGATGCATAACATCGTGCAACTGAACAATAACTTATACCTAATTGTGAATGATAATTACAACGTTCTTCAATCATAAATGAATAAGCAGCATTTTCAAATGTTTTATGTATATCATCACGTGAAATACGTTGTTTTTTTAATTCAACTAAAAGCATAATTAAAGATTCAATACTTGCAAAATTAACAAGACGTGTATCTTTAGTTGGTTTAACACCTATAGAAAAAAAATATATATTTTTTTATTATTTCTATTTAATAAAATTTTATTTTATAATTATTAACCTTCAGCTTTTTCTTGTAACCAATCCATTAATCTACTTGTTTGTTCATATTCAATAGATGGAAAAAAAACACATGGTTGATTTAAACGTTGATATCGACGACGTATACGATCATCATTTGATAAATGATTTGTTTTATTAGTTATATTTGATATTAAAAATGTTTTTAATTGTTGATAAATTATTTTATAATTATCCGTTGCTTCAGCAAAATCTTTTAATGGTATTTCATGTGTTGATTTTAAATGTTCTAAACATGCTGACATATAACCAGGTGGAATTTTATCAGGTTTTATAAATATATGTCGAAATATAGTTGGACCTTCAGTTAATGTATACTAATAATAAAATAAAAAAAATAAAGAAAATTTTTTTTTTTAAATAAATTCTTACACGAAGAATACACATTTCAGCTGGTACATATTGTCCACCATCTTCTTCATCAATTTTACAAAATATTTGAAAATTTATAATATATATTGGCATTGTTAATAATTCATTTATATCTAATGGTAAATATTCAAATGCTAAATAATCTCTTTCAAAACTAAAACGATCATAATGAATTTTTAATTCTTCACATGGTATATCACGTTCACGAAGAATTTTTTCATTTTTTATTTCTTGTTTATGAAATTTTTTTTCTTGTAAAGAACGTTGATTATTATTAATAGTTGAATCAGGATCTAAACGATATTGTATACGCCAATTTTCATATAATATTTTATATGGTTGTTTTTCATCATCAGATAATAATTTCCATTCATCATAACATGCTGCTATAGCATCATTAATACTTAAACGTTGACCATTATTTTGTTGAAAACGATGTTGATATTCAAGTGCATAAAAATAAAATGCTGATCGACTTGGTTTAGGCATGAAAAAAATTATGATCTACAAAAAACAAAAACAAAAACAAATGACATCTTAGAATTCTTTATAGAAAGAAGAAGAAAAAAAAAATTACATTTTTCCCTTTTCTGAAAGAAAGGATTCTATCCCACAAAATATCTTCAAATATGCGTAGTAAATATGATGTTTATTTAAACGAATAAGAAAATAATATAATTATTTAACCAATAGAAATCAATTGTTTATACAAAGAGGGCAGTATGTACTGAACCAATGATTAATTCATCATATGATTGTGTTTTTTTTTCTTCTCATGATTATTTTTAATTCGAAATCAATATTAAACTTACATAAATATGATGACTTTGATCTGTACCATTTTTGAAAGTTATTAATTGGTTTTGTTATCGATTCAAGAGATATAAGAGTCGTTCTCATGTTTTCAAACATGACAAGTAAGAGAATGACAAAATAAAAGAAGATAAGCATACTCTACTGAATTAAATCTATCGACTATAATAAGACTTCTATGTAAAGCGATCTGGTAAAATATATGTATGTCGATGAATACAGATGTTGCAATATTCAGATACTTTCGAAATATGTCACTATATTCAACTCCTATTAATTAAATCATCAACTTGTATTTATAAAATCACTATAATTAGCTAATATTGCAAAAAAAAAAGTCTATGAGAGATAAGTTTTAAATTTTTCTGACAATCATTGTAAATGTTTGAATTTCGCTAGAAATCAATTGCGATGAATTAATAGTAATGAAAATATTTTCCATGAATATTATAAACTTTTCATCATTCCTTGGTATTTTTCTGTGTAATAGTATGACTTTGTTTGATATTCATCAGGTTCTATCTATAATATATACATCAGATAGTATTTATCCTTGTTGGTATCAAGAGATATTCATCATAATCGACATCAACGTCAGAGATAATGTCATACGACCATAATGATTGGAATAGGAAATATTTATTACTATAGAACTTGGTATAGAAGTTTCTACCTCGGGAGAATCTATATTCAAACAAACATATTGGTTAGACGTGATTTTCTTCATCGTGCGATCGTTTGTACTCAAAATTAATTGGTCAAACAAAAGCATTTAATATGTCGAAAGAGAATATGTTCATGATAAGATTAATATTCATAAATAGACTTCTACTTCGTTACTTATAAAAGTAAAGCAATTATTGTAACTTCTATTGATTTTGATAATCATGGAAAAATATAAATTGTAGTGTCAACATGACATACATACGATTATAGTTCATATTATACAGCAGTCAACAGTTAACATGAAAAGAAGATGTATATATAATGTGTGACCCTTAAAGAATGGAACACTTTGATTTTTCGTTTGTTTTGGAAGACGACAACATGGTCTAAAGACACTATTCTAAGTTCATCCGATTGAATCAAATATATTTTGCTTGATAATATAAAATACTTGTTTGAACGAGACAATAATATATTAATTTTAGGAAGAAAGTTTTGTTTGAATGACATGTTCTAAACATTAATAATAAAATACTGATCTGGTACTATAAATCATTAGATAATCTTTATTGCTATAAGAATTCTCCTTTCGACTTGTGACAAAAAAAAAGATGGTTCGGAATATTTTTTTTTTCCATAGATTTGGAAAAAAATCCAAAAGTAGTGATCCAATATTACAATATTGAATTTATATATAACCATTTTCCACTTTCTGTAAAGATGATGAACATTCTTTCCTAAACACAGGTTTCTTTTTATTTGATTTTCGCAAACTGACGTTTGTTATATTTTCTATGAGGATTGTGTTATGGATGTAGGTTTTTTTTGTCTTCTTCAATCTCACTAATATTCATGTTTCAATCTTCGAGTTTATTCAAATAAAACTTTTCCGAACACAGAATGTTTAGTATTTTTCTGAAAAATTTGAATCAAATTTTCTTAATACTAAAATCTAGAAAAGTACCGTAAATCGGAAAAAATTCTGAAAGACACTCAATATTCAAAAAAAAATTTGAAATTCTGAACTTTTTCGGTCAGTTTGATGTTCTGACAACTCAAACTGTTATAGACTTTGTTAATATCATAATGATACGTTAAATCTCAGTCAAGAACGAATAATTAATGTGCTCAGAGATATTCATTGGTTTTCATTATGAAAAAAAAAACAATGATGTACTGATTTAGTATAGTCTTGTATTTTCTTAGACACTTTTACGTACTAAAATTATAAAATCTAATTAATATAGAATCATCGAATCTTATTAATGAAAACACTACATAATTCCGAAAAATAACTCTACAAAAGCAACTCCTTTTAAAAATACTTCATTGTTTTTTATTCATATTGTCCTTTTTGTTGGCACCTGGACAGGATTACATCTGCTTGAAACGATTAGAAAAATAAATTTATCAATAAGTAAAATTAGTGTGGTGCAAGTAATAACCCTATATGTTTTTTTTTTCAATGTCTAGTACATTTATTTTACATTTGAAAAAAATATATTTGATCCTTCGTTAATCCTTTTCAGATTTGATTGCATGATAAATTAGAATTTATTAATATTCCATTTCATTTCTACCATATACACTTTTTCTTATTGAGTATATATATGTATGCATACGCAAAATAACAATACAATATAATATTTTTACGCATTTCAAATGGGTCTAGCTTTATTTGCAATTATTTTTGCATGTGTTGTTTCGATAACATTATCAGCACGTACATTTCGTATAACAAATAATTGTGATCAAAAATTATGGTTTGGTGTACAAGGTCAACCATTGATCTATGGTGGTGGTTTTGAAGTTAATTCTCGTTCATCGATCAATCTTGCAGTTCCAGATGGATGGGTTTGTTTATCTCTTATCTATTTTATTTTTCTCTTAAAAAAAATAAAATAAATAGGTAAGCGGACGAATCTGGCCGCGTACTGGATGTCGATCAGTCAATGGAAAATTGACATGTGCGACAGGTAAATGATTGATTAAATATTTAGTAAATGTTAATCTTTCATTGAATAGGTGATTGTGGAGCTCCAGTAAATGGATTTGGTGTACAATGTAATGGTATTGGTGGACAACCACCAGCTACTATAGCTGAATTTACGTTAGATGGATGGGGAGGATCAGATTATTATGATTTATCAAATGTTGATGGTCATTCGATTGGTATGACAATAAAACCTATTCCTGGTCAATATACAATGGTTAATAACCCATCATTAGGAAAGTACAATTGTGGAACGGTATGTTTATTGTGCCTTATCTAGAAAATTTTTTTTTTTACTACATATTTAACTAAATAATCTAATGAGTGAAGCCTATATATTGTTTTTGTTTTAGGCCACATGTACATTTGATGCAAACCGATGTCCACCAGAATTACAAATGGATGATGGTGCTGGTCATAAAGTTTGTGCAAGTATTTGTGCGGCTATTCATAATGCTCAACAACGAGCTAAACATGGACATCTTCAAACGATCTACAATAATCCAGATACACGTTCACTTGTTTGTTGTTCATGTGATGGAAATTATTGTGTATGTTACATTTCATTTATAAGAATAATTATATGTTTTATTTCGTTGTATTATGAAAGGTTTCTCCTCATGATAATGTAACACCAGGTCGAAAATGTTATGTTGAACAATGGCCACGTTCTACTCAAAATACACGATATGATGAAGTATTTAAATCTCAATGTCCTGATGCTTATTCATGGCAATTCGATGATTTTGCTAGTGAGAATAAAAATCTTCGATTATGTTTTTGTATTTAAGTTTTTCTTTTTGTGAAGGTACCTATCAGTGTTATAAAGCAAACTATGAAATTATCCTTTGTCCATCAGGTAGTCCAATAATAAATCCACCTAATCCAACAACATCACAACCATCATCCGGAAATGTTTGTAATGGTCAAACATTTGATACAAATGCTTATTGGTGCGATGGTGGTCGTCTTTGTTCTAAAGGTGAAAGAGCATGTGGTTCAAATCCACATGCATGCTACAAAGAATCAATGTATCAATGCGTTAATGGACAATTGCGACCAAAATAATTAAAAAAAAAGAGTTATTTCTTTTGAATCAATCGCCTTGTTTCATGAAATAGAATTCTGAATTTTTTGCTTTACAATAAATTCGAGCTAATTCAGAAGTTACATTCAAAATAGTCAACTGTGAGACAAAATGATGATAAATTAGAAAAGCTAATTATAGTTTGTTTCGTAATCGATTAATGAATCATGTTGAAGTAGTACTCTCCATTCAAAAAGTCAATGGACTTAGTTGTATTGCAAATAACTTAGATATAGAACCAAGCAGTGTTCATTTTCCGGGAAAATGTTTTGAAAACGATGCGTTTGAAAATTTTTCCATTAAATGCTGACTTTCAAGATAATCATTATTTAGACAAAATCAAAGCCTCTCAACCTATATGTAAGGCCAAGCTAATTGCACACTGATCATATTGAAATGAAATATTATAGAATATTTTGACCATACTGAAAGAAATGGTAATGATGTTTGTTTTATTTTTAAATGCCATTGGTACTAATAAAAATCGATATTTTTTCCTATGTAGCCACTGAGAGCTGACTATTATTGACCACCGCTTGATTATTTGACTTTTTGGTTATCTGTCCTTATTCCGAATACTGAAAATCGCTTATTTGTGATACAATCAAGTCATTTACTTTTTGAATAGATAATAGCTGTCAATTATATTATTTTTAATGAAACTCCTATCACAATATACTCTGATAAAGATACTTAATTATGCTTGGCGCGATTTTGAATGAGGAACTTTATTGCAAATGACCGACAAAGATGTTCAATGGCTCACATATCATTTTAATATAGAATACATGTTTCATGTTGCATTAGAACAATTACATCATATTGATCATAGTGATGAGATCTATTCAGTAAATCAATTCATGTTTCATATTGATTTTAATTGTTTTTGTTTTTTAAATTTCAATTATTAGGATGATTCAATGTTAAGTGATTATTCATTATTGTCAAATAAAATAGAAAATAATACAAATGAAAAGAAATTCCAATATTTATTTAATTTTACAATTTATTTATGGATTTTATTAATTATTTGGATTATTTTTCAAATGTGGACTTCTTCATACTATTTCAAATGATATTTGTAAAAGAATTGTATTCTTATCATTAATACATCGATGATTTCGTAGTTTTATTTATAATGTATTCATTTTTCTCAACATAGTTTTATCTTTCATCTTCTCAGACTATTTTTCTTGATGTGAAGTTACTGTTCTCTTGTTTTATTGAATAGTATAAACAAAAAAAAACTTTCATACTAAGGTATTACTCTTTTTTTTAATTTAATATCAAGATAAACATGAAAAAAAAAATAATGAAGAGCAAGAATTAGCTCAAATCTACCAGAAGCTGAAAGAAAAATACAAGAACAAAATCTTTCTTTTTCTTGTTATGATTTGATTATGGCTGTGAATGTCAGTGTAATTAAAAATTTCGGTCGAAAATGTCACAATGGCATCTTACTGTCCTAGATTCATTATCGATTGTTCATCACTACCTTTTCTTTGATTTCTGAATAATCGTAGATACGTTTTTGAGTTCATCTTAACCAACAGGTAGACATTGTTAGCCTATGAGCTCCTTCTATTATATCTATCACTACAGGCATTCTCTAATAGTAGCCTAAGTCAAAAGAAATATGAAGCTTGTCTATCATATTCATCTAGAGATATGACTAGATCAACTGCATTATCGACAATGTAGTCGAAGACTAAAAACAAAATATTAAAGTTTTGAAATTTCTCTAATTCAGATTTAAATTTTGAGAATATTTTTGTCTCGTTTCTAAGCAATATATTCTTTGCTATAATTGTCTTCAAGTTCCTAATATAAACATTTTTAAAATTAAAAAATCTTTCGAAAAAAATTGACGAACATTTTTTGTTTTTACATCTATGGGTATCGATATTCATGCTACTGTATAGCATCGACAATTTTTAAAATGTTCTTGTCAAATAAAGAATTAGAAACTATTAAGAACTGGTTTCTGAAACGTGCAAATAAAAAGTTCTTGCAAACCAAAGAACGATATCTAATTGATTATAATGAATTCTTATTCATTTATATTTACATGTTACAAACCAGACAATCAGGCAGAAAAAAAAGAAAGAAAATGTAACGTTGCTTTCTCTTCTTTAGTATTCATTTGTTTACACATTCTAATGTTACATTGATGTTACTTTGTACATATATATGAACGAAAAAAAGATGGCAACAATACTACAGTATATTAATATTAGGATGATTTTTTTCTTCGTTGTCAATACACTTTTTTGTTTATTTGGATGTGTACTGATTACTTCTATATGTTACTAAGTTTACATGAGAGACATGAATCAATAGAAAAATTTGTACATATTCTATCGAATAGAAGTGAAAAATATTACTTTATTTAGTTGTGTATTCATCTTATAAATTTTTCTTGATTGCCCGCATATCTTTGTCGTATGTTAGTTTTTACACAATAATTCTCAAGAAATACAAGAGAATATAGCTACATGTCTACGATCCAAAAGTTGATAGTGAAATGAAAACTTCAAAGAATCCAAAATGCACATACAACTTACAAATTTGTAACTTCAAACTATCATAAAATTCTAGAAAATAAAAAGATAAACTAAAAGAATTCAACAAATCAGAAATATTTTAATGACTTTTGATCTCTTCAGCTAAATGAGGATATGGGTAACATATGAATCATTTTCAGTTAGAGAGTGCGATTTGTTGCCAAAGCTGGTCGTCCTTACAGACACCTGTTTTTATAGGATCAAAAGATGATTACCTTTATCCTTGCATTCTAGTTTTGTTGAATTCTTTCTCCTCATTGAGTTATCTTGAATTATCTCTAATTTCCTTGAATCGTCAATCTGTGGATTGTAAGTATCATTGTCCAATCATGTCAATATCACTACGAACACAACCTTATATAATGCTCACACAAAAGACAAGAAAGAAAATCATACATCGTCTGGATCAACGCCCTAATCAAGAAATCATATAGAAAAGACATGAATAAAGAATGTGAAATGTAATGGACATTAACTGTTTCATTGTATAATGAGAGTGTTTGAACGTGAATGTTAATATTTTTCTGATTCAGAAGAAGCCCTCCGCGAATAGCAACTACAATTGATTCAAAACACTTAGCATCTTTTTATTGTTTCACAAGTTCTTTCTAAACATATTCTGCTAAAAATCCATCTTCCGATTATTACTAAAGATCGACGCACAACATTTTAACAAACAATAAAACACTTCATTCATTTCACACTTGATTACGACAATTTGATACGATGTTTCATATGATTTTCATGTCTGTCTCAGAGCAGTCATCATTAATGATCATTTATCAATGAATTACACTACGAAATTCATCAATCGATTCTTCTGATCAAAAATTTCTCAGATGGTAAACCAAACAAATCATAGTCCTAAAGAGATTCAACATTAAGTAATGGACTGCTGTCAATGTTCAGATATGAGATAAAAAAAACTATTGTTGCGTTTACTCATGAAAAAGAAACTTCGAGAAGCAAGTATTATGTGCTCATGTATACAAATATGAGTGCATATTTTTTCATCGTAACGATATGAAACGCAAAGAAAGAGGAAGAACAGAAAGAACGAAATATATACGATGACGACAAAAATTGCCTAACTGATGAAAATGGTCATGCTCTATTGATTCACGTAAACATGCATACGTTAGAAAAAAAACAAGTAGTTTCGTCAACAATAGACACGGAACAAAATTCGTTACAAATATATAGAACAAAATCTGTGCACTCCAGCCTCACTTATGATGTGAGTAAATTTGATTTCTTATATTATTAGACTAGTGATAAAATAAAAATTGAATTTCAAAAGTAGCTATAAAGAACAAAAAACGAGGAGTTATGAAGATGAGGTATTCAAATTATCAGAAAGTAATTTCAAGAAAGTTCTGATTGACGATACTTAGCATATGTAATCGATAGTATAAACTAAAGTAGTTCGTACACGTAAAATAATTCTACCGTCGACTTTATTAAAGAGTATGACTTTTGGAATGCTTCAATGCATCGAGATTATGGTATTAGAAGATATGAATCTCATTTCAGTGAAAACCTAAAGTCTGAATGTTAAATCGAAATTCTTCATTCATAGAATTGAAGAAGCTTAAGGATTTTTCAAATGCAACACATTGTGGAACTTCTTCACAAACGATACTCTATTTATTCTATGGTATGGGTATCACTGAAAGAGTAAAACGATCGTATAAATTTCATGAATTGACATTCTTCTCTTTCTAGAAAAATCCTTTTGAAGACTGGTACGAGTCAAAAAACCTCACGAGAAAAGTATTAAGGCATAGAGAATTCAGCTGATTTGGCCTTGGTTTATGAGCTTTAGCCATATTGTGAATCAATCAGGCTAGCGGTATGAGTCCTATTCGAAAGACTAGAGTTTCTTTCTAAGGGAAGCTTTTAAGGATTCTCTGATGTTCTAACATCTGTATGAGTATGGCATTGTGGGAGAGAGAATTTTATTGTTTCACTATTGCATCTGGACAACGTATTATTTGCGAGTCGATCTGTGCCTTGTGATACTTTTTAATAGTTGTCAGGTAACGAACGCGCTGATCTACTATACAATTCTACATTTGACGTGCATCAAAAGCTTTTTTGACGAAATCTAAAAAGATATCGATGGATGTCCATTCTATTCACGTTCACCCCATATCCTTATTGATGAAGACGCTTTCAGACGAAGACGAAGCATGTCCTAAAAATATAAATACAGAAAAGACTAAATATTTAGCCAGTCTTTGCCATCTTTAGGGAATACAGTGAACTTTAAATTTTAATGTCAACTACATTAACTTTTGTAATTATGAATCATTTTCAATGATTGTAGTCGTGACCGTAAGTTCTTTTATCGATTAAATTCAATTTAAAAAGTCAATAGAGTTACATCAGATTTAAACCAATACTAATAGAGTTTAGTAAAACCTGTTTTTAACCACGAGTCTTTCTTCGATTTGTTAAAGTCCGATAGTAAGAAATCAAACATTTTTATCATTTTCGATTACATGTGTCCATATTGCTTTTTTCTAAAATTAGTCGCTGAATAAAGATTCGTTTTCATCATAATTTAATTCAGTCAAGAAAATAATAGACACTGTGAACGTAGAAAAATAGAATTCGTATGAAATAACTCTAGAGATTTTTAAGTAATTGTTCTTCTGGAGCAATGTGTTTTACGTAGAGTAACGTTTTATGTGCTGAATAAGATATCATTGAAAATGGTAATTGTGTTTTATTTTATCATTTTACTGAAATTCAGTCAACAATGCGCTGCTTTTACTTGTGATATCGAATGACGCAGCTTTATTTTTAATTTGAAATGTTCCACAAGCCAATTCATACTTAAATAGAATATATTTGTTCAAGAGTCTTTTATCTACGACTGTAAACTAGTGTTCACATTATCTGAGTACAACTAATCACACAATCAAGTCTAAACCTTGTTTAGAACGTTGTCTGATCATGTAGTTCAGTTCTTATGTCTTCTTCTCGAGTGCTTGATATCGAATATCTAAATTGTTTAGTTTAAGTTCTTCGTTCTCTTTTCATAGGAGTGTCTCTTCATGAAATGAGATTCATGAATATTGATCTACTAGAACTACTTAGGGTGTACCAAAAGTTCTGATCACCATGTTTAAAAGACTCTTTCGATAAGGCGTCCTATTCAAAAATGAGAAACCAAGTATACTATGTTGTAGAGTTTTTCGAGATGCATCTAATGGTATATAGTAAATTCTATTTTCATAAGACTCTGAAAGAATTAGAATCAATTTACTGATAGGCGACTACACATTCACACATGCATCCATCCATATTCACATCCACAAGATGATCGGAGATGCTACGCATATGAGATTGTAGTCCTTTAAAAGTTCTACAAAGTCATATGTGAGAAAAGGCATTTTACAAATATTTTTGATTAATAGCAAGGACAACAATATTCATTAATTTATCATTGTTGAGTATAGGTGCTAGTATGGATGCATGTGGATATGTAGTCGTCTATCAGTAAA